ATTCATCAAAAACGTGCAATAAAGATAATGATTCAATGAAACTAGCGGAACGAATCACTTGTTTACATCTCTTGGGGAAATTTTTAGATGTTGCATAATTTTTTTTTTTTTATCTTTTCGGTGACATAACACTGCCAAACATACACGTCGTCGCGGAACCGAGTAATAAAACGTTCTTGTCGTGGATTATAGAAACAAGTAATGAAAATATTTAATTGATGTTGAATTGATTCATAATATTTATTACATTAAATCGTTACTACAAATGCGTTAAAAATTATATAAAGCAAAAAAAAACGTGTAAAGAGACAAGGTATTTTTACAACTCCTTTTTTAAAGTATTTAAACTCAAAGTTTGACGTCTCAAAATATAATCTCGAAGGGTTTTTTTTAATCTACCAAAAGAGAATAGATAAAAAATAACATTTTACGATATAGGATCATCCAAAAACGTCCTACATAGAAATGTGAATCATATTGTTTTCTAAAATTAAGTTAATATCAACGACGCATAAAAGCTGTTGGATTAGCATAACTAAATTTACGAACATTTTTACTATTTAAGATGGATTTTGATAATATTTGCTATGCAAAATAGTTCGAAAAAAGAGATACTACGATTTCTCTGATTAAATAAAACGTTACGCAATTGAAGCATCAACTCTCGCTAGATCATCGTGGTCGTGAAGTTCCCATCTATACATCCAAGTTTTAATGAGATTGCACCAACTCTCCGGGCGAATAACACAGCTTTTGATAATTACAAGTATCGGAGGAAAAATATCGTTTGCCTTTTCTCGGAACAAATACATCGCTTTTTCATTTTGTTGGATGAGAAAAAAATAATACCTTGTGGTTTTCCCCAGCGAAGAACATTTCTTGTTTTCTGTTTTTTTTTGAAAACTTTTTTTTTCCAAAATGAAACATGGTGTGAAAAACTGAAATATAGTAACATGAGATTTTAAGTAATACATCATTATAAAATCATTATTGAATTAATATACATTTTTAATCAGTATTTAAATTTACTTTAAACTTGAGACCGAAACAAGGGGCTATGCACTCTTGAAGTCATTAAAAAGGACTGCAAAAGTCTCGAAAAGTTTTCGGTCTTTTTATTGAGTCTTCAAGGATGCGCAGTCCTTCATCGGTGATTAAGCACACTTTTGTCTGCTTGTTAATAAAAAAAAAAAAAAAAAAAAAAAAAAAAAAAAAAAAAAAGTCTCGAGCACCACTTGATCATCCAAATCGTTGACAGTCAACCGGGAGCTTACACCGAATCCAACATAATCAAAGACAAGCTTCATCAACTAATGCACATGTCCCATAAATCACCATCACCAATACAGCAGATGCTTCCATTAAATATATACGTGCATAATAAAACGGGCCTTTGGAGCAACGAGGCGTAAAAATTACTCGCGCTCGAGCAGCTTTCCTAAAATCCATCCCATACACGCGTGAAGGGCACGCGTACAGCAAAGCACGGGCTTTCCTATGAGGCATCGCGCGTATAACTCTCTCGCAAGCTCCACCGAGCGTATACCTATACGCGCGTACACACGGCGGCGAAATTTTGCGAGCGTGGGACATTATTCGAGTTTCGCTTCACAAAGCTATGACCAATCTTGCTAATGGGCCGCTCGCTCGCGCGATCCCTTCGCGAAATTCTTCCCGTCCTCTCCCGCACGAAATGGCCCTCTCCTCCCCTCTTGTATCCGCTCCCTCCTCTCCCTTTCCACTCATCCCATGAATATTTATTTCCACCGACTCGTTTCATTTTGGCAAAAACTAATAAATTCTTGATGACCCGACCGAACTCCTTCTCTCCTCTCCTTCGGCTTTCACACGCTCCGCCGTTTCGCGTCCCGTGCTTTTTCGTTGTTTCGTTTTGAATATGGAAGCGAGGACGCGAATACAAATCCACGCGCGCGACAGACTCACTGCGTGTGCCACCACAGTGCTGTCGATCGATGAGCCACTGTACCCCACATACAGAGTATATTATGTACACTGTCGATTGTTGTACACTCTACACGGTAACGATACTGCTATCGGCCCTTCTGCAGTGTGCCAATAGCGAGAGAACAGTCTTTGTTTAATTAAAATTCCAATAGCTCGCTCCAGCTGATTAAAGCCTCCCCCTTCCCCCTCACCCCGTGTGCACATGTATACGCGTGTGGGTTTCATTTGAGCGTCCAAAGGCCGTTTCGATTTTGTTGTGACAAAAAAGAAGTATAGGTATATACACACCGCCAGATGTGTATGAAAACGAAGTGACGTAATGACGCTTGGAATTACGAAACGCGCGTTCATTCGTCACGTCACGTGGTGAGTCCCAGAAATTACGGGGGATAAATATTGATCCGAGACCTTATTTCTTCTTTCTTTCTCTCCCGAATACATTATTTTTCCAGCCACAAATCACCGCTATCAACATTAATTCTCCCACTCAGAGGAGGCAATGCTGAGCGCGCGCGTGATTATTAACTTCTTTCAGCTGTTTAATCTCAAATAACAGATAAAGCCGGGCGGCCTTTACGATCGGCCGTATAAGCTCCCGAGCAAACAAACCCCGTCGGCCGCGCGTATAAAATTTTTCCTCAAAATGATTTCATCGCTCCGACGCGCGCCCGTGGACGCGTATAAATAGGATCGGCCTGTCATAGTCCACAGGGGCAACAGAACGAAAAAAAAAAAAAAAAAAACGGGATATTAGAACCAAGAAAGTGAACGACATAATTGTACTGATATTATACTGACAAGTGAAACGCGGATGTGCTGGTTCGTGTCGTGTTGATGTATATATATATTTTGTTTTTGGTTGATTGGTTTGCTTCGTCAACGAGAAGAGAGAAAATCTATCACGAATTGCTCCAATGATTGAACAGTGACAATATACATATATAATATTATATTAACCGGTGAGAGCAGACTGCAGAGTGCGATAATATAATATACTGGAGGAGACAGGGATTCAAGGTCGCCCGGCTGCATGGGATGTTAAAGGGGGTGTGCGCCGGAAGGTACGTGTGTTG